TAATTATTTTCTTAAAAAATCAATGAGGCAAAGAAGCCACAATGCAAAGTAGAAAAGCCAGGACTGTACCCCAAAAGCTCAAGGAACCTCTGTGGCCGGGCCTTGCCACAGGTTATTGGACAGGCTGGACGCCAGTTCATGTGCTCTGCAGCAGTTTCTCTGGAAGAGCAGAGGGGTATGGCATCAATGCCAGGTAAACACAGAAAGCCAGAGAAAGGGGAGCCTTCCAGAAGCCCTGGAGCATCTCTGTTTGTTCATTCTTTCTGTAGTTATCAAGAGAGCATTGGTGAGCATCCCAGCATAACTGCAGGTGAGCAGCAAAGTAGGCAAGGAGACAGCCCGAGTTTTCACAACACCTTTGTTTTTCTTCTATATCTGATACTTGAAGAAGGCTGCTTACTCTCAGATCTGTTAGTAGTATATCATGTAGGACAGTCCAGAATCTTTTTTTTTTTCACACCCTCTGTACAATATGCAGTCAGAAAGTTGTATTAGTTTGGGTTGCTATAACAAAATGTCAGACTGGGTGGCTTAAACCAGTGGTCCCCAAGCCCCAGGCCATGGACTTGTACTGGCCCATGGCTTGTTAGGAACTGGGCTCCACCGCAGGAGGTGAGCAGCAGGTGAGCAGAACTCCAAGTTGTCAGATCGGCAGCGGTATTAGATTCTCATAGGAGCATGAACCCTATTGTGAACTGCACGTGCAGAGATCTGGGTTGCCCGCTCCTTATGAGAATCTAATGTCTGAGGATCCCTGCCCCCATCCCCATCTATGGAAAAATTGCCCTCCATGAAACTGATCCCTTATGCCAAAAAGGTTGGGAGTTGCTGCCTTAAGCCACAGAAATCTTTTTATTGAGGCTGAGAAGTCCAAGATCAAGGTACTGGCGGATCCCGTTCTGGTGAGGGCCCACTGCCTGGTGTGCAAATGGCCATCTTCTTGTGTCCTCACATGGAGGACAACAAAGAGAAGAAGGGAGCTCTCTCCTACCTTTTTAGAGGGGCACCTACTCCATTCATGAGGGTTCCACTCTCATGACCTAATCACCTCCACAGGCCTCACCTAATATCATCTCCTTGGGGTTAGGGTTTCAACATGAATGTGGGGTGGAAGGGGCACAAACATTCAGACCACAGCAAAATTTGTTTCTTCCTTTGTTTGAAACCATAGATTAAAAACCAACTGGCATTCACTGACCCAGAAATGATGTATTTATTTGATTTAATCCTGTTAATGCAGCAAAATTCCCAATATGATGAAAATGTATGTAACTCAGATTAGAGGTCACCAAAACTCAAATTGACACATCTTGGAAAAAAGTCCATCACCAGGGATGTTTCTTCTGGGCCTGGATTCAGGCTGCTTCTTTCCCATACTCAAGAAACCAAGTTCAACAGCAAGATACCTTAGAAAAGCAAAGGACTGTCCCTATTCCTCCAATGCCTTCCAAGGAAGGGGTCACACATTAGGCTGACCATGGGGGTCTTGCCACAGGCTTTGGAGTCACAGAATCCAGAACCTGCCATGAGGCCTTTCTTGTGTGCAGCCCTTGTGAGTCTCTGCTGTTGCTCCCCAATATCAGGTGTTGTGAGGGCAGGAAACATCATGTGGATTACCTCTCTGGACTCTCACACCTCCAGCCAACCTCACCACATTCCATGACTGAATCTCCTTCATTTGGCAAGGAAATGGGGTTCATGGTACCTTTCCTCACCAAAACCAGCTGCCGTGGGCGAGTCAGAGATGGATGTTGGCTCCTGACTACCTCTAGGCAGATGTGTGGCTCAACTTGTGGATGCTGGCTGAATTTCTTTTTTGTGTTTTCATATTTAATAGAGTCATATTTCCCTTTGGAAATTACCATGCTGAAAAGCTGGACTTTCCCTCTGAGCAGGACTTTTACTGTAGCCACTTTGTATGGAACTTACTCTGAGAAGGCACTGTGCTGCATCCTGCCTCTGGATCTGAGTATGCCGCCTCCATGTCACATGGCCATTGCAGATGGTGCCGGCCCCACCGGCCTGGAGCAGCACACACTGTTCAGCCTGGCTCCCCACAAGGTCTCACCCTGCCATCACTGCAGTGGCCCACTCTTCTCAGTGGCAATGACTGGCATCCTCATCAAAATGTTTCAGTTACACCAGAAACTGAAGGAAGTGAAGTCCAAGGTGGCAGGTTGGGCAGCGTGCCCAGCCTCAGCACAATCCAACTCCATTCCTGTTGTGCCACACAGTTCTGACAGACCTGCCCTGCCTTGTCCAAGGGGTAGAGGATGATAGTCCCTTTCCCAGAGGGGTTCTCATGTTTCTCAGTAGCCCTGACAGTGTCCACAGCCAAACTTGAACCTGTCACTTAGGCTGGGGACTGTGATGCCGGGAATGGCCATTACAGTCTTCACAAACCCAACCTTGCTGGCGGAGGTGGAGTTCCCGACACGGTAGAGGAGGATGGTTGCAAGAGGAGTGAGGGTGGCTTTCCCAGAAGTGGGGAGTGGGGAGCAGGACAGCCTTGCTTGTTAGTCATCTGTACAGCCTCTCACGATGCCCAGGGAGGAGCTGTGGATATGGAACACACCCCTGGGAGTCCCCACAGGATCGGAAGTACAGAAGTGTGGCTTTTTCCAGTGAGATGCCCTTCGCGCACTCAGAATCTACCTGGATGGGCACCTGGGACCATCCAGGGTGGTGGCACAAAAAGACATGCCCCTGGGGACAGCTGGTCCTGCTCCCACTCTGGGGGCAAGGGCCGGTCCAGGTTCTGTGGGGTAGACTCAGGCCTCAGATTGCAGCTCTCACAGCTGATTCAATGCATCCCCCTGTGAGGGGCTGGCCCGCCTGGCAGAAAGACAGCTGGGATCCAGGCTGGCCCGCCTGGCAGAAAGACAGCTGGGATCCTCACACATGCAACCTGGGGGACGCCCCTGGCTACCTGATGTCCAGTGCATTTCCTCACTCCTGGTTGTGGCCTCAGTGATGACTGTAGTGCTTCTTTGTACTGTCCAGTGTGGTGGCCACTGGCCATGTCCAGCCACCGTACACTTGAAGCATGGCAGCTGCAGCCAAGGAACTGGATCTTCATTCCATATAATTTAATGTATACCTAGGTAGCCACACATGGCCAGTGTACTGGGCAGTATAGTAATCTAGGGTATAGGTAAACTCACCCAATAACTGTCTTAAGAGCCATTAAGGTGTATATTTCCTTCTGTGAGAAGGTGAATTTTTTATTTTTTGTTTTTGGGTGAATAGACCCCTTCCAGTCTTGTCATTAGGATTATATTCAGAAGAAAAAAAGGGTAGCATTATTTGTCCCCCCCAAAAAAATCACAACAGAGAACAATAAACAAAATAAAGCTTTATTTGAACTTCCCTGCAGGTGCTTCTGAGCCCCGAGCCCATGTTCCTATCAGCAGTGTTGGCACCTAGGCCATCTCATAGACAGCCATGACCACAGGCCACATTTGGGCTCAGCTCCAAGTAGCAAAGCCCATTGCTGCCTAAGTATGCGTACTGCAGCCACCACCACATGCTGGACATCACAGGTGCAGGGCAAGGAGGATGCCCATGTCCAATTCCCAAGGACCCAGCTCCCAGGTTTCCCTCCCTATAGCCACACCGCCAGCCCTGAGGCTTAGCTGAGAAGTAAGCACTCAGTGACCTGGTGACTTATGTCATCTTGTTAGTGTGAGAGGACCTAAGGCACATTTTAAAAAGGAGCCTTGATCCGGAGCACCAGGTCTCTTCATTTGAGAAAGAGACAAGGTCGGGCGTGGTGGCTCACCCCTGTAATCCCAGCACTTTGGGAGGCTGAGGCAAGAGGATTGCCTGAGCCCTCAGGTTCAAGACCAGCCTGGGCAACATGGCAAGACCTTGTCTCTACAATAAATCAAAAAATTTGCTGGGCACAGTGGTGTGCTCCTGTAGTTCCAGCTGCTTGTAAGGCTGAAGCAGAATGATCGCCTGAGCCCAGCAGGTCAAGGCTGCGGTGACCGTGAGCATGCCACTGCACTCCAACCTGGATGACAGAGTGAGGCTCCAACTCAAAAAAAAAAAAAAAAAGAGAGACACAGCTCTGGAGCACCAGGTCTCTTCACTAAGCCTCAGAGGTTCTTACTGCCCCAGTCACAGAAAGGACAGGCCACATCTGCCAGGACAAGGCTTCAGCCAAGTGAGAGCTCTAGCAACTTGCTTGAGCATCCCCTGGTCCCCTAGCTGTGTGGAGCGTGCTGACCTCCTACCAGAACACATCTGGGGAGGAAATCTTCCTAGACTGCAGCATGGAGAAACAACACAACTACAGTCACTTCAGAACTGAGAGATGGGCCCATCCAACCGCCATGTAGGAGTTGGCTCCATTACACACAAACCACGCACAGGAGAGATAGACACTGGGAGGACACTGCAGGCCCAGAAATCCCCCGTCTGGACAGAAGCACAGACATCTCCCACTCCCAAATATGCTAAGCAGTGATGAGAAGTGCAGCCCCTGATCTTCACACGCTTCCCCACCAGTGGAGGAAAAAAAAAACAACGATTTTTGAAGAGCATGTACAATTCATACATGACACTTGAGTGCTTGTACATTATCCTTCCAAAATGTAAAATTAAAAAATAAAATCTCTGTCTTGTGTGTCTGGAAACATCTGGAGAACACACTCAGGCTTTAGCCTGAGTTATCCAAGCAAGCACACTTCACTAGTTGTCTCAAGAGGACACAGAAACAGAGATGGCAATGACTTTTTTCCAGAAAACCAAATCCGGGACAAGTGGACAAACCCTACCCATGTGTGATGGGCCTCTCCAGGGGCTATATACTTCTGGGGTCTCCAACAGAAGGGAGAGAGGGCTCAACCCAACTTTACATTGGGACATGGGGGCCGTGTGTGGGGCAGGGCTGTTCTGGACCAGGAGAGAAGCCAACCCCAAGGCCCCTTCTGAGAAAGACCAGCCAGGGACTCAGGTGCCTGGTCTCATTCTGCGGGCCTAGGCAGAGGTGCCTGTCACTTGGAAGCAGCCTGCTTGCCCCTGTGCTTCTGGTAGGCACTCAGGATCTCGGTGATGATGCTGGGGTCCTCCAGGGTGGTGGTGTCCCCCAGATCCCCACCCAGGATTATCTTCCTCAGGAGCCTCCGCATGACTTTTCCAGACCGGGTTTTTGGAAGACGTTTTACCACCTGGCAAGGCACAGGCTCAGTATTAGTGTGTGGAGTGGAGACCCAGCTTCAGGGGCAACAACCATGCTGACGCTGGGGCTTCTGCTCATATGTGACCCTCATAGATGTGTAGGGCCCCACCCCAGAGAATGACAGTGGCCCACGGTCTCTGGCTTTATCCTCCTCCTATCTGGACCTAAAGCTGGAATCAGGCTAAAGGACAAGACTAGCCATGAAAGGGGTGTCGCTGACGCCCACCCCCAGGCAGAGTCCTCCTGGACCCAGTTCACCCTGCGCTGGTACTTCTGTTCCCCCCTCAACCACACATGGATGGGCATCCAGGCAGCCACAGGTCTAAGCATGTGCCAGGGCACTTCATCTCCATCCCTGACCTGACACTTAGAGGCTTTCGTCTTATATAAAAAGAGGCAGGAGCTTCTGAAGAGAAAAAAAATGATCTTAGTGTTCAAAAACTTAACATTTATTTTATTTTATTTTTTGAGTAGGAGTATCACTCTGTTGCCCAGGTTGGAGTACAGTGGCACACTCACAGCCACTGCAGTCTCAACCTGCTGGGTTCAGGCAATCCTTCTACCTCGGCCTTCCACGTAGCTAGAACTACAGGCACATGCCACCATACCCAGCTAATGTTTTGGTATATCATACAGACAAGGTCTCGCCAGGTTGCCCAGGCTGGACTCAAACCCCTAGACTCAGGCAATCCTCTCACCTCAGCCTCCCAAAGTGCTGGGATTACAGGCATGAGTCACCATACCCGGCTACATTTAGCATTTCCAAGCAACCATGGCCCATTCCACGCAAGCAGAAAGACATCGGGAGCTGTGTTTGGATCTCTGACAGTGCTTCTGTCTTTGGAAACAATTCAGTTCACCTAACAGTTGAGGTCTCTGAAACTCAGGTCACCAGGCCAACTGTGTGAACTCAACCATCAGGTGAGGCTGGGCCTCTGCCTCAGAGCAGCCCAGGAGCTGCTCTGGGGAAATACTAGTAAAGGAAGGACAAGAAAGTTAAGGGGCTGAAGAGGTGGCCCAGGGATCCCTGAATAGATGCCCTTGGAGGGAACCTGGAGATCTCCCTCGCTAGCACCAGGAAGTGTGCTCAAAACCCACAGGGTTGGAAAGCTCAGACACTTCCCACATGTCTATTAAAAATCTCTAATCCAACCACTGTGGCGGCTCATGCCTGGCATTCCACCACTTTAGGAGGTTGAGGCAAGAAGATTGAGCCCAGGAGCTCGAGACCAGCCGGAACAACATAATGAGACCTCATCTCTACAAAACTTTTTTAAAAAATTAGCTGGGTATGGTGGCACTTGTCTGTAGTACCAGCTACTCAGGAGGCTGAGGCAAAAGGATCGCTTGAGCCCAGGAGGTCAAGGCTGTGGTAAGCCGTGATCGTGCCACTGCACTCCAGGCTGGGTGACAGAGTGAGACTCTGACTCAAATTAAATAAATACATACATAATAAGATCCCTAATCCTCACTGCCCAGCCTGTCCCATCACTTGCATGCTGGGTCCTGCCAGGAGTGCCTTCTGAGAGGTGAGGGGTCAGCTCTGCATCGCCTCCTGTCATCACCCTCTCTGACAAGAAAGACAGTGACCCACTGTCCCTGCCAGCACCCAGGAAACCAAACAGCCACATAGGGAGACCACTGTGCTCATAAAACAGCGCTGTCGCCTGACCCTAGGGAGCGGGGACCCCCTGCCCGGCACAGGGCCTCACCAGGATCTCATTGGGCACGGCGTATTTGGCAATCTTGGAGGCCACTGCTGCCTTGAGCTCCTTCACCACCACATCTGCGTCACCGGCATTGTCCTTCAGCACGATGAAGGCAAAGGCGGCTGGAAGGAAAGCAAAGGGCTGGGATGTGCTGGGCCACACACCACCTCCCAAGGTCACACTGCGCACGGGCTGCTTAACTTAAACCACAGCTCCTGGGCTACTTGTGGCACGTGTGGCCATGGCTGCTGCACTGGAGCAGGTATGGAGCGGTTACGAAGTGGCTCGATCATGGCAGAGTCTTCAGGGCAGCCCCAGCCAATCTGCATTTAACCTGTATACTAAGTGGTATTTGTCAGTACCCTATGTGTTCCAGAAAGGGTTTGCACTGACCCTGCTGTGACACAGGGACCTCTTCTGACTGTCCCCCACATGAGCAGTCACTTGTCCTGGCACCACTCCCAACAGCCCATCCTTCCAGCCGGCCCTGCCTGCTCTCTCACATCATGTCTCTCCCCACACAGCCCTGACTGCTCCCCAGCACCAGCTCACCCCACCACTCACTCCACTGGGCACCCACCATCTAACTCACTGTGTGCCTCCTCAACAGCCACACCCACTGCTCACCGTCTCTCCCCTCACTCCCCAGTCCCTCCAGCAGGCTGGCTCCAGGAGGACAGGGGCTTTTGTCTATGTCACCGACTGCTGTGTCTCCAGTGTCTAGGACCATGCCCAGAACAGGAGGTGCTCAGCAATTGTGAACTACATCAATGGATGACTGTTTCCTGAACGAACTGTAATCGGTGAAGACCTACACAGCCCTTGCCTGAATGGGTCCCCATCTCAACCTGGAAAACTCCTATTCACCCCTCAAGACCCAGCTCACCCACCATATGCTCCATGAAGCCTTTCCTGACTGTCCATGGACCTAGTTATGGCATATGCAGTGTGAGCAGCTGTCCATCCCCTGCCACCACCCACAAGGCTGAGATCCTTGAGGGAAAGAACTGCATGTTCCTCATCTTGCCCATTGCAATGGGATCAGAAGTGGGCCTTGACTGAGGCGTTCTGAGAGCAGAGGAGGAAGGGGAAGCCCTCCATGTGGGAGCAAGAGCCAGGGGAAGGCATACAAGACCCAGGACATTGGAGACAAGAAGGACAAAAGTCTAGCCAGAGGAACCAGAAGTTCCCAAGGTCCAGATCCTAATCAAACAAGCCAAGGGGCTCCCTCACTCAGATCTAGTGCAAAACAGAGGGGGGACAGGCTCACAGCACATCACAGTGGGGACAGGCTCACAGCACACCACAGATGGTCTCAGGGCTAACCCAGACTGTCAATGGGCTGCTCGGCAAAATAGATGCTCCAGTTTGTTAGAAATCAGGAAAACGCACATCACCACACCATGAGACAAATGCTTCCCCCATCCCACCCAGCAGACACTAGGAACCCTGGTACCACCAGCCTTGCTTGAGCTGCAGGAGGAACCATTAGAAGAAGCTGAGGGGAGCAGAGGTGGTCAGGGCCTCTGGAGCTCTTACGTCTGCTACCCAGTGACCAGGACCATCACCTATTGGAGACCAGACAACCCCAGGCACACAGCACTGGGCAGCACCATCCACAGCTGACCACACCCAACACGGCCTACAGCCGCTGTGGAACAATCATGACACCTGCACATTTGTCTAAAGGTTACTTTCCAACGTGCCTAGCTGACCTGGTGGTACTTGTCTCTGAGGCTCATCCAGGGGCTGCTGAGCTGCTGGATAGATGGTTTCTGCCTGGGGAGGTAGGGCCCTCTCCTGGCCCCAGGAAGTTCTAACCCAGCTACAGGACTCAACACAGATAGAGCTTCCAACCCCGTAACACATTCATCCTCTGTGGATCCCCAGACCAGATGTAAAATGCCAGAGTCCCCAAAGGAGGGACCAGATGCCTACCATTGCAAAATGCCTTCAGGGAGACTCTAAGTGACCCCTGGTCCCACTGAGGAATGGTCCACCCTTCTCCAGTCCTCCCATCACATAGGTACCTCTGCTGGGCATGCCCTATGGAGGAGGGCAACTGTTTCTTTAGAGAGGTGCCTCCCTCCCACCCCAGCCTTCCATTTGAGAGACAGGCACAGTCTTTCATGGAAAACACAATGCTGTTTCAAAAGCACCTAAATACATTCCAAGTCTGGCCATGGGTCAATGTAAAGGAAGTGTTTGAGTAAATAATGGAACAGCGGTACAGTGATATGGCAGGGGCAGGTGACATCTGGGACACGTTGTGACACAGGATGACCCTGACAGCAGAAGGTAGGCCCAATCCCAGGCCACTGGACAGAACAGAAGAGGTCGGTCTGCTGGGCAGTGCCCTGGCATGAGGTGTGTATCCAGGTCATGTCAGGCCAGGCAATGTGGCAGGATGAGCCTGGCATTGCAACACTCAGTACACCTGCCCCTTCCCAGACCTAGCCACTGAGACACTGGTGGACCCTGGATAGAGCATGGCCTTGTAAAGGCCATCCTGATCCCAAGTTCTGCCTTTCACAGCCTGTCACTGTACAGTGTGAACTATGGGTCAGTGTCCTGTGAGAGTCTCAGAGCAGCACACGCGCCCACTGATGGGCACACTCTGGTGTGACAGCTACAGGGCATGCAACTCAGGGGCTGTGATTGAGCCCATGAGCAGGACACGTGGGAGGCTGGACGTTCTGTTATAAACTCTCTGTGACAGGGATGGATAGTGTCCCAGTCAGATACACCCCAGACACAGGATGTAACTCCCCAGGCTCAGTCAGGGGCCAAACAGGTCATGCCACTTGTGGATGGGTGTCCTTAAAGGAGAGTGGAACCGGCATTTCCGGGGCCTGACCTAACATGTGTACTGCCCAGCCTCTTCTTCCAAAATCTCCACTTGAGAGAGAAGAAGACCAACAGTCTGACCCATGAAGCCCCAACGACCCTGCCCTCCAGAGTCTGTCCTGTGAGAGGGGTGCTGTGGCAGGCATGGGGTTGGGCCTCCACAAGGAGCTGCTCTGGTGGTCCTCACCTTCTCCCTTGATGTCATGGGGGTAGCCAATGACTGCACTCTCCGGCACTGCGGGGTGGTCAGCCTGTGTGCCATAAGAAACAAGAAGGCAAGAGATGGAGGCCCCAGGGTGCCAAGGGGAGCAGGGTGCAGATTCCCAGCCCACCAAGGCCCATGGAGGCATCGTAGAGGTGCAAGAGGTGCATGCTTACCATGGCGTCCTCGATCTCTGCAGTCCCCAGCCGGTGGCCACTGATATTGATGACATCGTCCATCCGCCCTGTGATCTGGTAGTAGCCGCCCTTGGTTCGGTGAGCTCCGTCTCCAGTAAAGTAATAGCCTGTACCGCAGTGGAGGATTCAGCACCAGGGCCCCTGAGCCAGGTCTGCTGGGCTCCTGTCCTCCCAAGAGGAACAAAGTAGACCCTATGCCCCACCTCACCCTACAGCATAAAGCTCTAAAACCAGCACCTGGCAGCATATCTGGCCAGTGCCCTCCCCACAACCCCTAAAGCAGATGCTGCTCTATGTGGCACCACGTGACTACACTCCAGGGGGCAGACAGGTGGAGCAAAGACTTCAGGGAGAACAGGGGACACAAGGCGTTCAAGGTGCTTCCCCAAAAAAGCGAGTCTTGTTTACAGGTTCGAAACAGATGGCGTTCATGTAAACTTCCAACCCAATGTCACAAGAATGACCCGAGGAAAAATACAAGCTGGAAGAAGATGGCTTAAAAAGGTGGCTTCCTCACCTTTCCTAAAAGCTGCCAGGACGCCCACCATGTGGCGCTCTGCTGACAGGCTTCCCACTCACTGGGGTCCCCGAGGTGGGAGGGAGGCACAGTAAGACGGAAAATAGGTACAAACTCAGGCCTAGGAGTGCCTGTTCCTACCCATAGGCTCACCACGCTCATGCCTGCTGTTTGCATGAAACTGAGGACACGACCACACATCAAGGGAGGCATGCAAGAACCACACCAGCCTACTCACCGGGATAGGCCTTGAAATAGGCATTCACAAATCGTTGATGGTCGCCATAGATGGTCCTGGCCATGCCCGGCCAGGCCTGGGAAAGGCACAGGGCTCCAGAGACGTTGCCACCCTCCACAATGTTTCCCTGTAGACCCAGTGAGGCTCGTGTGAGAGATGGGGCAGGTCACAGCATATGCTCCTAACTGTTTGGCCAGGGCCACGCCCTGAACAGGACTGGCAAGGGCCTGTCCTCCGGGTGTAGCTGACCTCTTGAGGGCACACGCATGTGGCTGTCAACCAGTGGGTCTGAGAGAAGACGCTGAGTTGCATGCTGAATGAAGACACTGGCCCTCCCTCCAGGTGCCTGGGCTGCATGACACGGGGTGGGACAGGCAGGGAGGAGAGGTGGCCCCAGAGGCCCATACGCACCTTCTCGTCCATGAGGACGGGGATGATGCCAAAGAAGGGCCTCATCGCCATGCCAGGGAGGATTTCTGCCCCTTCCTCTGAGGGCCTCGGTGCGATGCAGATGCCACCTGTTTCTGTGAGAAGATGAGGAAATGCTGCATTGGCCCAGGAGCCAGTGACATGTACCTCCAGACTGTGCCATCAAGGGACATGGCACTCCCAGGTGGGGCTGGGTGGGACCGTCCCTGTCTGGGACAATGACTCTTGTCTGTGGCAAACCAGACATGGGTCCAGCCCCTCCACAGCAGGCTCAGACCCAGCAACTCCATATCAGTAGCCAAGTGTGGGCAGGCCTGGCCATATTAGGCCTTGCTGGCAGCAGAGCAGGGCAGAGCCCACCGCTCCCACCTGAGGAAGGTAAGCAAGAGAGGCTTCCAGGCCAGAACTCACATGACATGTCCTGACAGCGAAGAGACACCCGAGAATCCCATTCTTTCACAGCTTCTCTGACACCTGCCTCCCCCGACCTGGAGCATGGAGATGCCTAGGGACACTAAGTCATTGAGAACCTCTATCCTGGGCCTCCACATGAATAGAACTGCACTATGAGAACATCACTTTCTGGCTACTTTCAGGATAAGACCACAGATAGCCACATTTATTTTATAAGTGGTGGTCTCTTGCCCTAACCGCCATAGTAAGTCAGTCACCCAAGAGAAGAGGGGACAAATCCATACAAAAGTCACATCAGATGCACCATGTGCACCTGATACAAAGGAAAGTGGTAATGAGCTTGCTGCAGCCAGGTCTCAGCTGGTCATCCCACAACACCCACACTATGGCTGGTGAGGGGGCTCCCCATTCACATAGGAGGAAACCGAGGCTCAGAGAAGCCCCGACACATGGTCTGACAGCTGGAAAGAGCAGCCATGTGACATGGGCGCAGCCTCGGGAGTTGAATTCAATCACACTTGCTGCTGAGAGCTCAAACCCCAGACTCAACCTCACACTTGATCCTCCAGACTCAGTGTTGTGACCAGAAGCCATTCCCTAGGCCTAGCCCGACCACACCTGGGGACACTCACCTGTCTGCCACCAGGTGTCCACCACCGTGCACCTGCTGTCCCCCACCACCTTATGCAGCCACTCCCAGGCTTCGTGGTTGATGGGCTCTCCCACTGGAACACACAGGAAAGGAAAAGGAGTGAGCAAAGCCAAGATAAACCAAGGCCAGAAGGAACAGCTCCATGAGGAGACAACATCTTAGTGATTTTTCTGAAGGACACACAAAGAGACCTGAAATGAGGTGATACACATCATATTTATGGTCATCAAAGAAATACAAGTTGCAATGAGGAATTTTCACCATTAGAAGGTTAAAATTTCAAAATTTGGCAAGAATGTGGGGAAAGAGGATTTCACACACACAGTAGGAATGTAATTTGGTTCAGTAATTTTGGGGAGCAATTTGGATATTTCTCTTAATATTTAAAAGTATATATAGCCACTGCAACTACTTTGGACAACTGCTTGGAGCAGAACCCACTAAAGCTAAACATACATCTCCCTCGTTACCCCAAAATATGACTTCTGACACACTCCTCAGAAAAGAGTGCAGATACCACCAAAAGCAGACATGCACAAGGATGTCCACAACAGCCCTGCTCACAATAGCAGGAGCTACAAATGTCCCTCAAAAGCAGATGGGTCAATAAGCCATGGTACATTCATGCCATGCATGGAATGCCACACAGCAACAAAGAAAGCAAACACTGCCCACAGCAGCAGGGATGAGCTGAGTCACAACGCTGATTATGTGTGGTCCCATCTATCCGAGGTTCAAAAACAGCAAGGCAGTCTATGGCAAAGGAGACCACATGGTCATGGTCAGGGGAAACTGCAGGAAGGGGGCAGAGGGAGCCTCTGGGGACCAGCAGCACTTCTGCAGTTTCATCTGGGTGGTGGCTGGGCATATGATGTGTATAAACACTTCTCACTGAACACTTGACATCTGTACACCGCAGTATGTTTTATACCTCAATAGAGAGGAAAAGATGTGCTTATGTCCCAGGACACTCAGTGTCCAAGGGAGGTCAGAAACACACAGGTCTCACCATTCACAGCTCCAGCACGACAGAGAAGGCTCTCAGTCTCACCACCTGTGGTTGAATGTGCGTCCCCTCCAAATCTCATGGCAAAATTTAACTGTCAATGTGACAGTATTAAAAGGTGGGACCTCTAAGAGGAGATGAGACCATGAGGGCTCCAACCCCATGATGGGACTGGCTGGACCTCTCTCACGCTCTTACACTCCCCCACCTTCTCTTTGCCCTGCACTGTGGGATGACGCAGCAAGAAGACCTCGCCAGATGCCTTGACCTTGGACTTTCCAGCCTCCAGAACTGACAGCCAATACGTTCGAGACAGGGTGCCCAGGCTTTCTAATACAACAGCACAGAACAAGCTAAGACAACACCATCTAGAGAAGAGCCCAGGACTCCTTCTTAGAGACAGGGGAACAGGAAAGTACCACCACCAGGGAACCAGAACCCCAAGCCCTGTCCAGGGAGCAAAGGTGGGTACATAAGGCCATCAGCCAGGCTGGGACATGGGGGTCTCTGGAGTCAGCTGCTGGGTTCAACAGACTCCCCTACTTACTCACTGAGTGACCTCTCTCTGTGCCTCAATTTCCTCCTCTATAATGTGGGAGCAACATTAGTGCTGAGATCATGAGGCTGACGTGAAGATAAAGGTATTTAATAAATATCTGCTTTTAATAATATTCAAATTCCTCCTGTTTTTAAATCTAGAAAGTTCTTTGAGAAACAGAGAAGGATTTTATTATTAAGGGGAAAATTAGGGGAAAAGGAGGGGGAAATCATTGGAAGCATGCAGTGTGTCAGGACGTTCCCCGTGAACCCACATTTCCATGTGCACACACTGCATTCCTGTTCCCATGCTGACCCTGCATCATCCTCAGCACCTGCAGGGCAGATCCAGCCCAATCCACACTGGGGACAAGTGGTGAGCCATGCAGGGCATGGCCTCATCACATCGCCCACAAGGAAGGGAGGACATGCTCACCATGTTCCCTTTTCCCAGCATGCATTTGTCAGAAAGAGACACCACAGTGGTCATGGTCTTATGTGCTTCCTCTGTGAAAAGCTTGAGGAGCATGCAGGAGCCCCACCCTTCTCTTTTCTTCTGACCACATGTGACAACACAGCTGGGAGGACAGGTGTGATCCACTTCTGATACTGTCTGACCATCCCCCCATCACTTTCCACGTGACCTGGCAATATCCATCAAAATTACAAACAACTCCAACTTTGGAACTCTGCCTGGAAATGTCCACAGTAGGGGCAGTGCTCAGTGTAGGATGACATCTATTACATGTACTTAGGAACACTCAAGACATCCAACAATGAAAAATGCTTAGTAAATTATAGATAAACAATTATCACGATGATGATGATGATGATTAATGTCATTATTATAAAAGACAGGGTCTCACTGTGTCGCCCAAGCTGAGTGCAGTGGCGCAATCATAGCTCACTGCAACCTCAGACTCCTGGGCTCAGACAGTCCTCCTATCTCAGCCTCCCAAGTAGCTGGGACTATAGGTGTGCACCACCATGCCCAGCTAAGTTATACAATTAAATCCCATGCCTTTCCCACTAAAGAAATGACTTGGCCTTTAATTTACTGTGTTGGTAAGTACTCATAACAAAGATTAAGTGACAAGATTTGGGCACAGAAAATGTCTGGAATGTTGTTCTCCAAACTGTCAGCTGCTACCGGCTCCAGGGAGGGAACTGCAGGTGGAAATGTACACTTTCCACCCAGTCAGGTCAGGCCTGTAGGTCCTCCACCACACACACAGCTGCACAGCTCTATGGCCAGAGCCCTGTGTCGACCGAGCTGGCTCTGAGGGAGAGGGTAGGTTCACCTGACCCCAGCGTCCGCAGGGAGGAGCGGTCGTACTTCTTCACCCAGGAGTCGCCGTACTTGAGCAAGAGCCGTACGGCCGTTGGGGCACCATAGAACTGATTGATCCTCAATCTCTGCACTGTCTCCCAGTACCGACCTACAAACAAGCAGGAGAGCCACCAGGCACTTTTACTTGGCGATACGCCCAGTTCCCGAGTAAATCCATAAAAGGGCTCCACCCCGCAAGACAACAGGGAGCCACCCAGGACGTCTACACAGCAGCCCTCCCCCAGCACTCCACTTGGGGACAGTCTTCCCTGGCTATGCAACCCACGTGATCTAGCCAGGAATTTGTTCAAGCGGTATTACTGGGATTCAAAAGTAACCCCTGTAGCTTTAACAACTGCTCATTCACACTTAAGTGGCCTCTAAAGTGGTGGTTGGTGCTTGGTGGGACAGCACAGCCATAATGGCACTGACAGCACACTGACGGACACATCAGTGGTGGCTGTGCTGTCCCTGGGAGCATAGCTGTGTACCCAGCACATACACCCCTGCATCCTGAAAACACCACAACTCGCCCTTCCCTGCACCCAGGACACTAGGCTTCCAGGGGCTGCAGTGACAGCCTGAGACAGCACCTGGGCTGTGGTCCATGACCTGGCTCGGCCTCTACAGCTTCTTCCTTGAGCACCCTAGCCACTGAGTGTGTGGATGGGGTGCGGGAAGGTGACAAAGAAGCCCGGTACAGCTGTCAGCACTGAATGCTCAGGCAGAGCCACTATGGTTTGGTAACATTAAACAGACATTTGGGGACACTGTGCTGTGGGGGAGGAAGCTGCCAAGGGAACAAGACATGGCCCTGTCCTTGACGGGACCTCAGTTTATGGAAGTGGCTCCAGCCATGAATATGTGGTCTGAGGGAATGGCCCAAAGACTCTGGTTGCAGGGCTGGGGAAACCAAAGGGGTAGGCAGTTGGCCCTGCCACAAGGAAGGGCTGGATCTGGTTAGGGGCTGGAGATGTGACAGAGAAGATGCTAATGGGGTGGCAGCTTAAGTCAGAGAGGCAGGAACACTAGGGTGGCAAATCGGACTCCCTGCTAGCACTCATCTAGTGCCAAATCGGACTCCCTGCTAGTACTCATCTGGTCTTCCTGCAGACCCAGCACCTGGCCCCAGACCACCCCAGAGGGCTCAAGGCCAGGCAGCTCAAGTGCCCACTGTGCATCTTGTCAATGGGACCATAGGAACCACAACACCCTCCCCCAGGGCCAGGCCTCTGCCCTTCTGTGACCCTCTCCTCAAGCCTGGAGCCACAAGCTCCCTCCCAACACCCAGTAGGGGTCCCAAACAGGGTCCTGGGTTCTCACCTGCATCAGGGTACACTGGGGTACTCTCAAAAAGGACGCTGGTAGCTCCATTGCAGAGGGGCCCGTACACCACGTAGCTGTGTCCTGTGATCCAGCCAATGTCGGCTACACAGCCAAAGACATCACCTGGCTGGTGGTCAAACACGAGCTGCAGACACAAGAGGGGCCATTAGGAGCTTGTCTCCACCCCACACACCCCACAACACCAGTCTGTAGTGCACAGCAGTCTAACCCGCATGACATTGCTGCTCAGATGCCCCCACAGCAGGATAAGTGGGTGCGTGGCAAGGGGTCCAGGGACCCCTCCTCCCCAGAAGGAGAAGTTGCTGGACAACAGGACACAAGACCCTCACCAGTGTGCGTGAGAGGCAGCAGTCAGCACAAATGCGAGAAGCCCGCAACCACACAAGGCCAATGCGCCTGGAGGGGATCGTGCTGGGATGAGCCACCAGGAGCCTGAACTGCCTTGGGAGCTGGAGATGCCCCACATCCTGATGTGGTTGTCACCCCATGCACCTGCAGGCAAAGCTTCATCTAGTTGGGTGTTTAAGATATGGGCCCCTTTCTGTGTTACCTTATGCCACATGTTTTTAAATTTCTTTAAAACTGCCAAAAATAAAAGCCAGAAAAGCCACAAATTGCATCAAATGTCAGGAGCTTCAAAAAGCATGAAAGGAGAGACATCTGTGTCTCCTTCATTCTCGTCAAAGGGTCTGATTTGAGCCCAATCCCACCTAGGTCCAACTGCCTACTTGCAGGAAACACAGAGGGACAACAGGCACAATCCAGAACAAGGGACACCAGGGACAAATGGCCGGACATGATGAGAGTCAGGCTTAAGGATAGGAGAGGGATGGAGGGGAACCCATGGTTAAAAAGACCTAAAAGCAGGTCAAGAATATCTTCATGGACAACAGTAAGCTGCAGTGTCCAGGGATGCATCTGGGTGACAAAACTATAAAAACAACAACACAGGGCAGTGACAGGGCAGTCAGGATGTGGGGAACTGTGGCCAGACAGGCTGTGGAAGAGGCTTCTGAGAGGCTGGCAGCATTCCATTTATTGACCAAAGTGTCATCTGCCTTACAGCATTTATTACACATTTGATTTGGGTGGTTCTCTGTATCTGTGTTCTAAGAAAATTTCTGTAAAATCTTAGGTTGGGTGGCCACCAGTGTTCTGCTGCCACAGACTTTCCAGGAGCTTCTAGACAGCGCAGCGGAGGTCCAAAGGCAGCCAGAACCCTGAGGAGTTGTGTTGGAGGTGGGTAGAATGGGGCTCTGCCTGAGCATGCCAGGAGAAAATGCTAGCACCCACGCCTACCAGCACTGCTCTACAAAGGAGGTCTCACCCTGGCTGCAGCCAAATCCCCGGGTCCCACCTTGTGCGTGACAGCAGCATACAACAGGTAGCCCGCCTGGGTATGCACCAGCCCCTTGGGCGTTCCAGTGCTCCCTGAGGTGTACAGCATGAAGAGCATGTCCTCACTGCCCATGCTCTCCGGGTCGCACACAGGTTCCTCCTTGCCCATTTCCTGGAAGGGAGAGAAAACAAAGAGCCCACCCAGTGCATTCAGCCTCTCCCTGTGCTCAGCCTCCCTGAGAAGACCACCCCATAACCGCGGCAGGACTAGGCCAGATTCAGAGTTCACCTGCTCTGGCCAGCCCAAGTTCAATTTCAAATGCAAAGAAGATACAAACAAAAGGAAAGATACAGTCATGTCTGTTACACTAAGTGTTCCAACAGGCTTGTGGTTCTATCTTCTTGAATTCTATCTTCCCAACCAAGACTTAAGCTTATCACATACCACAGGGGCACCCTGGGCACCTCTAGAGAACCCGGGCCCTGCTCACCTGACAGTAATCTCTCCACCTCACACTGTACACAGCTAGGAGACCTACCTGTTCAAGGGGGACATCCAGATCCCCCATGTGCACCTTGTTGTCCGTCCTGTGGGCCACCAGGACACACTTGACAGTCGGGCAGAGCCTCACAGCCTGGTCCACAATCTTCTTCAGCTCCACTACACGGCCGCCCCGCAGTCCTTGGTTGAAGGTGATGACCACCTTGCATTTAGCTGGCAAGGACAGCATGGACATTCTGATCAGTGTCCTCCCCTCTGTGACCCACCTGGCTCTGACTGTGTGTCACACCTGAGGCTGAGCATGATAAAGAAATCCCACTGCAGCAAGAGTCAACATGCAGGGAGGTGTACCTGCTCTGCAGCCCCTACATGAACAGGAGTGCCCGGCCTCCTCCTGGGCACGTGCAAAGGACCTGAGAGGAACTGCTCTGACACCCACCTCTTCCTCTCAGAACAGCGGCATGAAGACAGCTTTCCCACCAGATTCACACCCTTCCTGCCCATCTGTCCAGGAGTTCCCCAGGAGAGGGGCCATCCCACCACCCCCAGCGACCATGGTGGCAGAGCAGCACTGACAAGCAGACCAAGAAGGCTGGACAACCAGAGGCCAAGCCCCAAGATGTCCCGTGTGGCCAGGTCATGTCCTAGGGGACTTCACCATTCAGTGGTCAGAGGCCACAGCCCAGCCAGATGCCCAGGAGCTGCCTGCCCCACGCAGCCCTCCTGGCCCCACACCTGCTTTCCAAAGAACAGCCAGGTGAGCCAGGAGACCCAGGCTTCCAAGGTTGACCCAAGGGAGGTAGAGCAGAGAATGAGAGACATGCACACCAGGCCTTAGGACCACAGGCTCAAGCCGTTCCCTCCACATGGTGCCCCAGTGCAGAGACCCAAAGGGATCAGGACTGCAGCAGATCCTGACAGTCGGCCCTGGGGAAGAGCCTGAGCAAACGCCCAGCTGCAGCACAGACATGCAGGGCCTTGCCACATGCCTCAGGCTCCAGCTAATCAGCACAAAGGGCTCTCCCCACTCAGCAGCCCTCAACTGGTGGCTCTCAGGGTTGGGATGTAGACACTCTCACTCCTACCCTCACATGCAGCCACCTCAAGGCATGTGTGTTCCCCTCTCATGCAGGGTAGACTGAGCCCTGGTCACCCCCGTGGCCCCACTCCCCATGCCCTCATGCTGCCCAGGCCCTCCTCCCATGAACACCTTCATGTGGCTCCCGATATCCCAGGGCCTCTCAGGGGAGCCCACCTAGGCATCAGGCTTCCTCAGTCAGTCTGAAAGCGTTCCAATAACATGCCCAGACGCCTTCCTCCTCCTAAGAGCCAGAGACACTGTGGCCTTGAGGACTCCCCAGCACAGGTCTTTGCAGCTGGTGGCCTGGCAGGACCAGCCAGGGGTCAGAGACACCCTAGACCTGCTCAGGTGCATCCCAGGGTATCCCAAGGGTCCCAGTCAAACATATCCTTTGCCCTTTAGGCTTTAGTGATCAGTCACTTGGGGAAACCAAGTCAGATGATTGGAGCCTGTCAGAGACTCTCCATACCTGAGCTGGGTTTGGTGGGGCGAGCTCCCTACTGGCGAGGAAAGGAGATGGTCCAGCAGGTAGAAATGAACCTCTTTCAGTGGGATGAAAAACAGAGAAAACTCACAAGGTCAGGACCTCGCCAAGAAAAACAGTGACCTCGGTCATATAATACACTGAAATTGCGCTCCATGGTGGCAGCTCCTCCCTGCCTCCCAGCACATGCCTCTCCTCCAGGGTGTATCTGTCCAGGGCCTTCCACCCACAGGTTCTCAAAGACAGGCCCCAGGAGGTAGTGGGAAGCACTGAGCTCCACAAGCATGTCTAGCCTATGGACGCCTCCGAGGCTGAGCAACAGCACAGGTACAGCAGAGCCACATGCCACTTCATCTGGAAGGACTCGATGCTCCCCCAGGGCTCTGTGCAGGCACCAGTGTCTGCATTCATCTTCTGTGGTTCCCATGACCAAGGACCACACACTTGGGCTCAGAACAGCCATGTGTAACTCAAGTTCTATAGCCAGGCAGGCGCAGTAAGACTCTATGCTCAGATCTCACAAGGCCAAGGTCAAGGTGTCAGCACCAGGATCTGGAGGCTTGGGGGAACATCTGCCTCGGGCCCACTGGGTTGGTAGCAGAACTCAGTTCCACATAACAGAGGACTGTCCCTCTCCTTACCATCAGCCAGGGACATACCCAGCATCGTCTTCCCTGGCTCACAACCCCTTTACCTTCAGAGCCAGCATTGCAGCGTAAGTGCTTCCCGTGCCTCCAGCCCTCTGATTCCAGTCAGAGGACATTCAGGGCTTAAGGTCTATGTGACTAGAGGGGTCACCTGGATACCCAGGCGATACCCATATTTTGAGTCCCATCTCCTTACTCCCATCTGCAAAGTCCTTTCCCCATGCAAGGGGACATGTCACAGGTTTCAGGGATCAGGGATCTGAGGGGTCACTATCCTGTGCCCACAGCCTCTCACAGAACAGACCACAGCCACTCCTGTCTCCCAGCAAGCCTGCCTCTCTCCCCACTGCTCACAGCCTACAGTGAGAGGGAAGATGGAAGCAGCAGGATGGTCAGTGCCCAGGCCAGGCAGAGCACAGGAATTCCGGAATGGCACCAGCTACTGAGACGCCGCCCAGTTTAGCAGTTGTGCGCACACCCACGCTCCCAGTGGCAGACAGAGAGTGGCTACACTGTGAGGACATGCTCTGTGGAGGCAGAGCCCAGGCCCCGCCCCCGGAATCCAGAATGGTGGGAACTGGTTTAACCCAGGCAGTGTAGTAACATGACATTCTGCAGGTACCAGGCCTGGCCGAGGGCAAATGGCAGTTTCTATTTCCCTCTTCTTGGAGCCACAAGTCGCACCTAAGACGTGTGAATGCCTGAGGCTACCATGCTTGGAGGATGCCTAAGTCAGCCTGTGGAGAAGCCACATGAAAAGAGGCACACCGGCCAGTCCCATCCATCCAGGTCAACCCAGTTGAGTCATCAACATAAATGAGCAGAGACCCACCTTCCCCCATTCCCCTAGGATTACTGTCCCAGAATCATGAAATATGATAATAAAATGTATTGCTGTCAGTGGTTGCTTTAAGCACTAGGTTTTAGAATTCTTTGTCACATGGCCATAAGTGGCCAAAACAGCACTTGGCTAACCCAGAGGACATAGACACCTGCCTCAAGAGTCCCACCCCCAGGAACCTGACACCAAAGAGCTGCACCTGGAGGCTAGAGGGTGTCAGGAAAGAGTCCTCCTCAGGACAAAGTCCCAGAGACAAGGCACACCCCTGCTGAGGCCCACAGAGCTGCCTGGTCCCTGCCCTCCTGTGGCCTGGCTATTCGGGGTTCCTGAGGTTCTGGGAGCTGCCTCAGGATCCAGTTGCTCAATCCCATATGCTCAAGTAACCAAGAGTCAACAGCTGCTGCTTGTTTCAGAGACCCTTAACAGACAAACTGGGTCACCACATCCATACCAGTAAGAGAGGAAGCGGGCAGCCTAGTAGAAGGCCAACAGCAAGAACATGTTGTCTGTGTTCAAATCCTAGCTTTCTTACTTACCAGCTATATGACCCTGGGTAAGTCAGTTTCCTCATCTTTAAAAAGAAAATAGTAACCTCCCAACAAAGAAAAGACCAGAGCCAAATGGTTTCACGGGTGAATTCTATCAAACATCTAGTAAGGAATTAATACCCATTCTTCTCAAACTCTTTGAAAAAATTGAAGAGGAGAGAATACTTCCCAAGTTCAGTTTATGAGGCCAGTGTAACCCAGGTGCCAAAGCCAGATAAAGACACTATGAGAAAAGAAAACTTCACACCAGTATCCCTTACGGACAATGATGCAAAGCTTTTTAGCAAACGCTAACAAACTGTATCCAGGAACACACTGATAGGACTGTACACCATAACCAAGTGGGGTTTATTCCAGGAAAGCAAGGGAGGTCAACATGCAAAAATCAGTGTAGCACACCACATTAATACAATGAAAGAAAAAAACATCTCAATTCATACAGAAAAAGCACTGGACAAAATCCAATACCCTCTCATGATAAAAATGTTCAAAATCAAGAATAGAAGGGAATTTAGTCTTATAAAGGGCATCTGTGAAAACCCACAGCTCACATTATACTCAGTGGTGAGAGTGATGCTTTCCCCCTAAGATCAGGAGACAGACAAAGAAGGCCACTTCTACCACTGCAGTTCCACACTGTAACAGAGGTTCTAGCTGGACCAATCAGGCAAGAAAAAGAAATAAAAGCCATCCAAATTAGAACGGAGGAAGTAGAACAATCTCTACTCACAGGTGACATGATCTAATGTATATAAAAGTTCAAGAATCCACAAAAAACTATTAGCTCTAACAAACAAGTCAGGAAATTTGCAGGATACAAGATCACCATGCAAAATTTAGTTGTATTGTTAGATATCAGCAATAAATAATATACAAAGAGAATTAAGAAAACAATCCCATTTATAAAATCTTCAAAAATAATACAATAATTAGGAATAAATTTAACCAAGGACATGCAAGATGTGTACACTGAGTGCTACAAACATTACTGGAAAAAATTTTAAAGGACCTAGGTAAATGGTAAGATATTCCATGTTTGTGGGTTAATATTGTTAGTGGGGCAATACTCTCCTATTTTTCTACAAATTCAATACAATCAAAATCCCAACCAAAATCCCAACAGTCTTATTTACAGAATGCTGATCCTAAAATTAATACAGAAATGAAAGGGACCCAGAATAGTCAAAACAATTTTGAAAAAGAGAACAGAGCTGGAAGACTCACGCTTTCAATTTCAGAACCTACTACAAAGCTACAATGTCAAGACATTGGGTGCTGAGAAAAGGACATAGAGATAAGCTTATAGATAAATTAAATAGACTATAGAGGGCCAGGAGCAGTGGCTCAAGCCTATAATCCTAGCACTTTGGGAGGCCAAGGTGAGAGGATTGATTGTCTGAGCCCACGGGTTCAAGAACAGCCTGGGCAACTTGACGAGACCTCATCTCTACAATAAATCACAAAATTATTCAGGCATGGTAGCACATACCTGTAGTTCTGGTTACTTGGAAGGCTGAGATGGAAGGATAGCCTGAGCCCAGCAGGTCGACACTGGGGTGGCTGTGAGCATGCCACTTCACTTCAGCCCGGGTGATGGAGTGAAACTCCAACTCAAAAAAAAAAAGAAGACTACAGAGCTCAGAAATGAGCCCTCCCGTATACAGTCAAATTATTTTCAACAAGGATGCCAAGACCATTCAATGGGGAAAGAACAGTCACTTCAACAAATGATGCTGGGACCACTGGATATTTACAGGCCAAAGAATGAAAGCGGACCCTTAGCTTATATCCTGTGCAAAAACTAACTCAAAATGAACCAAAGACCTACTTTTAAAAGCTTGAGCTATGAAGCCCCTAGAAGAAAGTGCAGAAGCAAATCTTCACAAACTGGATTAGGCAATGCTTTCTCAAATAATACAGCAGAAGCACAAGCAACATAAGAAAGACAGATAAAGTGGATTTCATCAAAACTTAAAACTTTTGTGCACCAAAGGACACTAGAGAGAAAGTGAAAAGACAACCTACAGAATGGAAGAAACTATTTGCAAATCACATATTTGGTAAAGATCTAATATTCAGAATATATAAGGAACTCTTACAACTCAACAAAAAGGTAAGCAACCAAGTTTAAAATGGGCAGGGCTCAGGTAGACATTTTTCCAAAGAAAATATACAAATGGCCAACCAGCACACACACAAAAAATGCTCAGTACATTAGTCATTAGGAAAATGCAAAGGAAAACTACAATGAGATACTACTTCATTGTCATTACAACGCCTACAATTTTTTTAAACAACTGAAAAATAACTGTTGATGAGGATGCAGAGAAGCCAGAGTCCTCACACATTGCTAGTTGGACTGTCAAACGGTGCAGCTCCTTTGAAAAACAGTTTTCTGTCGCCCAGCCTGGAGTGCAGTGGCATGCTCACTGCCACCGCAGTCTCGACCAGATGGGCTCGGGTGATCCTCCTGCCTCAGCCTTCCAAGTAGGTGGAAATACAGGTGTGATTGACCACGCCCGGCTAATTGTTTGATTTATTGTAGATACAAGGTCTCACCATGCTACCCAGGCTTGTCTCAAACTCGTGGGCTCAGGCAATCCTCTCACTTCTGCCTCCCAAAGTGCTGGGATTACGAGTTCCTCATAAGCTAAACATGGAATTACCATGTGAGCCAGCAGCCATACCCCCAGCTGAAAGCAGATGCTCCCGTATGCAGACATTCAAGGCAAATGGCCATCAACTGATGAATGGATAAACCAACTATGGCCAATCGAGGTGGGGGAGGGGGCAGTATTCAGCTATAAAAATAAGTAAAGTGCTGACACATGCCCCCTAAAGGTGATGGTGGAATGACTGCTAAATGACTGCTAATGACTGAATGGCATAAGGTGTCCATTCAGGGTGATGAGAGCATTCTGGAACTAGTGATGATGGTTGCACAACACTGTGATTGTATCTAATGTCACTTTGAAATGTGCACTTTAAAATGGTTATGATGGTCACTTTAAAGGTAGGAGGAATAAATAAGAAGAGTATTGTCACAACGTTGGCGCGGACTAAGGTAAATTTGACAGCCTTCGCAAGGTGCTACAGGGGTCAAGAGAGAGAGAAAGGGTGGCAGCAATGCCCTTGAATGTGGAGGGAGAAGCCCTGAAACGGAGCTACCAGTCTTCCTGCCTCCTACAGAATGCTCAGCAGCCTGGGCTATAGTTTGGATGTTTGTCCCTCCAAATCTCATGCTGAAATTTGGTCCCCAGTGCTGGAGGTGGGGCTTAAAGGGAGATGTCTGGGTCATGGGGGTGGGTCCCTCATGAACAGATTAATGCCCTAGTGGGGCTAATAGACCGAGAACTCTCTCATTACCAGGAGGAGCAGACATCAGGCCAATCAAGAGGGATCTGTCCCCACAACCCAAGTACCTCCCACTAACTAGGCCCCATCTCCAACACAGGATTATATTTTAGCGGACATTTGGAGGGGACAATACCCAAACCACACCAGAGACACTACTGTTCTGCACACTGTCCAGGAGACAGTGACATACTTGCATACAGAAGCCTGAAAGTTACACCTCAGGCCCCCTTCACCTGCTCCAGGTGAAACTCAAAGACAGCCCACCCCCCTGTTCCTCACAGCAGAGGCTTCCAGGTGTTGGCCTGTAGGACCACTCAGTGCATCTCTGGCCTCACCTCACCCTACACATGTCCTCCCTCCTGTGCTGCCCCTGCCACGCTGTGCTCCCGCCACCCCCACCTGTATGTCTCCCCTGCCTTCTTAACCTGGCTAAATCCAAGACACTCAGATCTCAGCCCGCAAAACAAATGCTCACTCTGCCATGTGCCTGTCCCTGGAAGCACCAACCATTCCTGTGTGTGAATTTTTTTTAATGTCTGTATCCACTCGGATGGTCTCCAGCCTGATGTCCAGGTCCCCAGGACCAAGGCCAGGAGATTCCTGGGTTCCCCCCTCCCAGGGCCCACATGCTCACCATCATTGATCCTCCCAGCCAAAGACTCCGCACTAAAGCCAGCAAAGATAACCGTGTGGACAGCTCCGATCCTAGCACAGGCCAGCATTGCCGCCACAGCCACTGGGGACACGGGCATGTAGATGGCCACACAGTCTCCTCGACGGACGCCATGTCTCTTCAGTGTGTTGGCCAGGCGGCACGTGGTCTCCAGCAGCTCCCTACAGCACAGGGAGAGAAGCCACCAGATGGGAATTCCAGTGCGGAATGGAGCGGGGCCACAGCCCTGCACCCCCAACCCAGCCAGGGAGGAGAGTCTGCACTGCTGCGTGGGACATTCCCTTCCAGAGGGAAATGGTTTAAGCATCTGTAGATCAGAACTGGACACGCATCCTAAGCACAGAGCATCACATTCCTGAAACTTCTGGCAACGTTCTCTCCAGAAGGCAGACCTTAGGAGCACATTCAGTGGTGCTGACCCCGGATTCCTGAATCAACACTGTCTGGGCCCCACACCAGGGAGGGCCGACCCAATGTGGCGACACCTCAGTGATGCCGGAGGAGGGGACACAAGGGGCAGCCAGTCCCCCTGTCCCTGCGGTCCCAACGCCGCAGCGGGTACATCCAAAGGGCACCGGGTGTCCTCCCAGGCCAGGGGTATAATGGAGGCAGGGACAGAGGCGGGAGACGAAGATGGGCCGGGTGACCACGTTCCTGCCTGTCACGAAGCTTGGCCTCCAACCAGAGGGCACCGTCTCTCTAGGCAAGCTGATTGGCTTGGGATTGACACGTGATCCAACACAGCCCAATCAGAGCCAAAGATACTCCGAGAAAGCCAGCCCGGGAGAGCTGGTTGCGGAGTAGGACGTGGAGGAAGCAGAAGTGATCCCGGTGTTCCCTTCCTCTTCCCGCCCGCTCCTTCTCCCGAGGTCTGTGGGCTTGATGGCTACGTTGACAGTTTCCCACTTCTCTTGAACTTGGTTCGCTTTTGGCTGACAATTGCAATAAAAAGAGACAACACACGGCCAGAATGGGAGGCGAAGCCAGGCCTGCCTGCCGGAAGGCGCCATAGGGACTGCGGCGTGCGGGTGGGTGAGCCCGGGCGTGTGGGGACCTAGAAGGCCTTGGCGTCCCCAGAGCCGTCTGCGGAGGACAGGTCGCGACGCCCTGCCACGGGCACTCGGGAGGCAAAACCCGACAGCCGCAGCACCGTACTAGGACCCAGGGCTGGACGCGCGGGCTGCTGGTGGGATATCGACGCAGGACGCAGAAGAGGCGTCTTGGCCCCGAGGGCTGACCTGCGGCCCGTGCCAGGAGGAGTGGAGGCTTGAGCATCCACTCAGCAGTCACCAGGGATGAATTCAGCCCGGCGCAGCACCCGTGTGAAATCTGGGGAGTGGCCTGTTCTACACAAAGGCCTGGGGTTCTGCCTAGCGGGGAGCCCATCTGAGGACCAGCAGCAGCAGGCCCCTGGGGTCACTGTCACCAGCATTCGCATCCAGAGAAGCAGGGCCTGCCTGGGACCCCGCCAAGAACTCCCTAGGTATTCTCTTTCCCATTCAAAGGAAACTCCCAGAAATCTCTGCGTCCTCTTCTAAAGTGGCTAAAATCGGCTATCTCACTCTGGTGACTTCCTAAGATGCTAAAAATCCCATTCTAGCACCAACAGGGTGATGGGGTTGTGGGCATTGCACAAGGAAAACGAGAGGGGATGAGTCCTTCCGGAGCACAACTCCAGCTGGGGTGGTGAGGCAAATGTGAGGGTGTGCAGGGCCTTGAGCACTGGGCTGGGTGGCTTGGTGGCTCACTGTTGAGAGCGGCCGGGAGAGCCTTCTCAACAGGTCGGCTGGGGGGAGGAGGACTGAGGCAGGAGGGGAAGGGTCTACAACCCGGGCCTGGACCAACCACTACAGGTACCTTAAGACACCCCAGGAGTGCAGCAGGGTCTGGTAGGTCACACGTTTTTGCTGCTGAGTCCAGAGGACAGGCTTCTGATAAAGAATTTGATCCAGATATCTTAGTGCTTGATCCACTTCCTGTTCACTGTGCCAAGGCCAAAAGCCTCAGAGTGGAAGGGTCCTTGAAGTCAGGCAGTGTGGCCTCTGTGGGGTTCTGGAATCGCTACCACATTGCAGCCCACGGCAGTCCAGCCTCTGCTTAAACAGAGGTCACCTCATGGCACTGCCACTTTCTTCCTCACTTTAATTGGAAAATAGCCTACCTAAAATTGGACCAAGATTTGCAGCTCTTCAGTTCCACCCCTTAGTCTTAGCTCAGCCCTTTGAAGCTGCCCCAAATAAATCTAATCTCTCACTCTATGATAGCCCTTCATCCTCTGGGAAGCCTTTCCACTCCCATGTTCTCTTGCCCAGCCCTCCATGACCCCCTCATTCTCTGTAGACACCTCCAATCACCAGATGGTCGCACATTCCCTTGTGTCAGCCCAGAGCAGACTCTGGGTGCCCACACCTATGACCTCAGCTCTATATTTAGTCATGTAAGTTATGTGACTTTTTTGATATCTGACACAGGTGGCTCCAATTCAACAGGAGGCCACTAACACTCCCACTCCCAGTGTAAGTCACAGATGCTCTTTAACTAGGGTCTTCTCATGTTATGGTTACAGAATTGTTTCTTAAGAAGACTTTTCATTTATCCCTAACTCTATCTCAGTTTCTATTCATCTTTCTAGTTGACCCATTCTTTTTAAATGGACTTGGATGTTTCATTTTAAACTCTCATATTTCATTAGCAATCTCCTCCAGACTTGTATCATTGGAAAATATGGTCAGCGAGCCTAGGACTTTTTTGAAAAATGAACATCCAAGAGATCCTGTCATTCCAAGGACTCAGGAATGGCTCAAAAGCATGCTCTTGGATATTCACAACTTCTCAGTCTTCCACTGCTCAGTGGTATGTGCTTCAGGCTGTGACTGCAGGAAGCACTGACATCCCCTACTGCAAGACCTTCTTTCTGGCATCCCCAAGGGTGGTCCAGAGCATAGATGTGCAGCTTTTTGAGTAACTTGTTGTTCAGATGCAGATCAGGATATTTACGTTTGTCTGACACGTAAACTTCCAGGCTGAGTTTTTGGTGTGGACATATGCAAATGAGGTGCACAAAAGCACATTTGGCCGGGTGTTTCACACCAGGAGACTGTTGTTGACTGGCTTGGGGAAGGAAGAAGACCCTCTGTTGCCAACTCCTAACATCAACTGGGAAGAACTGTTATCCATGCTAGAGATACAGCCTGACTGCCAGTATTTGTGACCCACATGACACCTGCCTGTACTCAGTATAAACACCGCCCTTGCCTGCAGCCTCAGAATTGAAGATTAGTCCAAAACAGGAAACAGCTGGAAACGGAGTTCAGAGAAAAGAGAGGAAGAATACTCTGGTGTGTACTTGTCAGGGCTGTGTTTTTCAAGGTCAATATGTGAAAGCACCCCTCCCTCCTAGACGTTTCCTGGTGACAGCCCAAGGAGATGAAATAAGTTGTCAGTGTGTGCTGCTCCATCTAAGAAATGACCAAATGGGGAGTTGTGATTTGTTTATTTCCTACCGTTACTCTGGCTCTTGGTATTATGAAATAATACCAGCTAGCAGACTCATCTTCCTATCTCCATCTGTCCCACCAGAGTGCAAGGTCTGCTTGGACAGAGATTTGGGTTTTGTTTATTGCCTTCTTAGCATTTAGAACTGAATCTAGTTCATAAGAGGCGCTCAAGAAATATCCCTCAGGCTGAGCAGTTGGGCCCAGCAGGTGAGCAAGAAGCACAGGAGTGAGCAGGCACAGCCTAACCACAGCCCCCACTTTCACCCCCAGTAGACTCCTAAACATGGGACCAGCAGACACAGCCCGACCACAGCCCCTGCTCTCACCCTGAGTAGGCTCCTGGAAGGGCAAGGTTGCCATCTGTGGCACCTGGCATGAAAATGACCTCTGGGAAGCACATGGGAAGGACCACCCCCTCTGACAAGCCAGCCCACTGATACTTTTCCCATTCTTCTGCCAATGTGAGAGTAAGCCCAGGTGACTGTGTGGCTCTATGGGGGCTAATCTGGAAGGTAGAGGTGGGGAGGGAAGAAAGGAGTGGCTATAGGGAAGGGAAACTTGGCAAGACAGCCACCTCTCAGGCAGGGAGAACCTGGGGCTGCACAGGATATTGACAGTCCTGGGGCATCTTGTGGTACCAGGCCTGGGGAACAGATACCTCCCTCCACCACCACCCCCACCCACTATGGTTGATCCCTCTCACCCTGACACTGCCATAGGCACTAGCTCCGACTTACTGGTGATGACATTTCTCACTCTGCTACTTCCTCACATGGAGAGGACAAGCCTGGGAAGTGGGCTGCATGGGCTCACAAAGCCAAGATCAAATGCCTTACACGTTAGTGTCTGATTCCACGGCCCTGGCCTTCCACACAGGGAAGCTGCCATGGGAATGCAAAGCAGAAGTTCCGTAGGACACAAAAGCTCCAAAGCTGCCACCAGTCAGGGAAGGGCAGACACAGTGAGGGCTCCCGGGGACAAGCTGAGTTGCCCGTAGTGACCAGGACAGCCATGAGTTTGGAATCACTAATGCTTGGTGTTTTCTTAATTCCTTATAGAAAATAAATGTGTTTTCCTGGAGGTTTGCTAGACTCTGTGTTGCAAGTACTGAACTCAAGAGTTTATCACTCAGAAGGGTCTCACTGGAAGCTCAAAACATCTGACCAGAGAGCGGGGTTCCCACGCAGCCCCCTGTTACCCTGGGGCCTTGACTATCTCATCTGAAACTGCCTAATGATGGGCCTACGGCCAAGGTGGTTGTGGAGACCAGACATGCACCCTTAAAAGCCACCCACAAACAACAGCTGTAATGACTACAAACATGGAGTTAGCATGGGAGAGAGAATTCTGGAGCATTGGCTCCTTAGGAAAAGTGGGCCCTTCTCAGGGCATAGGGTGCAGCATGCCTGTTTCCTTGTGCACGTCCAGCACCCATCCCAGGTCAGGCAAATGTGCCTACAGGTGTTGCAAATGCCTTGCTGAAGCCCTCACCTCAGGCCCCACTCAGCCCCCGTGG